TAGGCTCTGATGCGGTCAGCCAGATGGGTCTAGGAGAAATCAGGGTAGGCCTTGTTGAAGTGAGAGAAAGAATCTGAGAAGGAAGGGAGAGACTCATGATTGGTCAATTGGGTGTTGAGGAAAAGAGAGGAAGTGGTGACGGTGGCAAAGTTGTACCGGGAAGCGGCTAAGGTGTTGGAGGGCTTAGAATTGGCCTTAGGGGTGACGGTGGTAGTATTCTGTGAAATTCAGATCTAGGGACTGGGCAGCAACCTCGGAGGCAGGTTTGTGAGACATCTCTAAAATGCACAATCCACAATCAAACTGTAAAGGTCCAGAAATGTTATAGGCATATGCTAAATGTGATGGATTCTTTTCAATGTATCTCCAACCCTATTAAGTGCCCGTTTGGGATGGCTATTTGCCTTTGGCTTTGCAAGGTGGACCGGGAACCTACATGGAAAGGATAGAAGCTATATTTGGTTAAAAAATCTGGAAAACCAGAATCCACATTAATTTAGTTAATAAATTGACTTTTCAATGAAGCTAATTTCAATTCAATCAAAGCTGAAGCCCGTTTGTGAGGGCTTTCACATAATGGCTTCTGGCTTTGCAAGATGGCTCCAACTGAAAAGCCACATTATACTTTAATTAAGCTAATAAATCACTTTCCTAGTGATTCAGTAGCTTTTCAACATGGCTCACTCAATGCAGCTCAACCAAAGTTGAAACCCTCCTAACTTCCAGTCACTGGAAAGAGCTGACTGGAAAGATTCTCCCTTTCATTCTCCACTGATGTTCAGAGTTTATTGCATTCTCGCCACTATTTTCTGATTCCATCATTTGGTCTTTTTGGATTCCCATGACAAGCACAGAAGATGTTTCCAATGCACAGGAGATATGGGCTATAGGGCACTTGGGGGGAATGCTCAAGTGGGGAGTCCCATATTGTCTCTCTTTCAATAATTATTTGGGTAAATTACATACCCTATATTTGGGGGCAAGGTTCAAAGTATCAGCACGTATCGGCTAATACGTATCGTTCCAGCACCCCACTGATATGCCCCTATAGTGGGTATATCGGTGGTCTGACCGGTTCAGGGTGTGGCGAAGACCTAAACCAGCTCCCCTGAACCAATTGGCGAAAAAAAATAAAAAAGAACCACCAAAAAGAGTATCGATTCGCCCAATACACCCATACCGGCGTATCAGGCGTATCAATATTTTGAACCTTACTTAGGGGTAGTGACAGATAGGTACACTGAACTTTCAATTGCAACACTTGAGTACCCTAAACTTTCAAAAATAGACACTTAGGTCCATCAGTTAGTATTCTGTTAATTAAACATTGCATAATGCCAAAAATATCCTTCTCATGTATTTCTAAGATCATTCTCAGGTAACTGAATGTCTCCTCATGATAACGTTCTCACATGGACAGATTAACATTATGCAATGTTTAACTGACAGAATACGGAGGAACCCAACTGTTTATTTTTGAGAGTTCAAGTAGTCAAGTGTTGCAAGTAAAAATTCAGGGTACCTATCTATCATTATTCCCAAAGTATAGGGTACTTATCTGTAACGTAACCTAAATATTTGGCCGTTGCCATTTGTCTGATGACTTTGACGACCAATATTTCATTAATGCATTGTTGCTGAAGAAGCTTCTCTTTGAAACTCATAGGCATGACTCTTCTATTCTTCTGTTTCTGGTTCATGTCAGATCCAAATGTTCAGAGGTGAATCCTTTGTAGAACTCGTTGCTTCCCTTCCACGCCAAATCCAGTATAAAGAAATTGCATAATACACGAGAGATACTTGTCAAAGACAGCTCGCCTGGTGTTTTGCCCTTTTTTTCACATGAATCACAAATCCTGGGGCCGGGTGGAATAGGGATTTGCCCTCAGACCGCACCTCACACCAACCTCAGAGCCCTATCTCACCGTGTATCGGAAACATCTATTGTAAATGACAGTACAAACAAAGTACGTGAGATGTTCTCAATGTGCGGATATGAGGCATGGTGAGGTTGGTGTGAGGAGAAGATCTGAACTCAGTCGGGTGGGCCCGTTAGCACCATTCCAATAGCATACTCACATAAATGGGAACAATTTGATTATGTGAAAATTCTTGCTCTTACAACTGCTCGGTTGCCCTCTTGGTGAGGTGGAGACATCTCCAACACCTCATTCCGGGGGGGGGGGGAAGTTGTGAATGTGGAGATTGCAAAAAAGAAGCATCTAAGGTTTTTTCTACGCAGGAGAGATGATGCCGGTGTTCTACGTCCATTCATCACTTCACCAGAACAGAATCCATCAGGCCGTTTAGGCTGGCCCCTGACATCTTCCTCCATCCTCCCGAGGACTGAGAGAACCAGACGTGCTGTTGATCTATCAGAAGACTCGAGGAACATTGCAAACAAAGTTAAAAGCAGTGCTTGATTCCTCTGTTCCTTCTTTCTTGAGTTATAAAATGCCTCTACTTTGGTAGGCAAGCAAGGATCGGATCCACAAGCTCAAGGTGGTCAGTTTCCAATCTGCTGTTAACACCAATTTATCTTCCACGGGCCAAACTAATTCAGGGGGGAAAAAACTTGACTGGTTTTGGGAGCTTTCTGCGCATTCAGAGTGGCGGACATGCACGCTTGTAAAATCTATAGCATAAATAACATTAAGTGTCTGTGAATGCATATGCAACTCTAATGACTTGTAGGGAAAGAAAACACAACTATGGAATTCGGATACATTAAATTCTAGTGAAATATCACCGTACTCATAAATGAACAAAATCATACAATAGGCTAAACACAAGTTGGACCTAATTTGCAGGGGAGGATCTTAAATACATACATGTATTGAAGCTGAGAGCCTAGAAAGACGGTCAACTGAAGAGCCATGGATCAGGTGTCCTGAAGAATCCAGTTTTCAATCATCAAGGCCATAGTTCTCCCCAAAGTACCGATCGACTAATCCATTTGCCATGTTTCTCAGGTCTTCGTTTTCGTGAAACTGAAATCTTTCCATGGCATCAATTCCGTCTTCCCTCTCAACAAGCTTTGGCCCCTCACCATTGGGCATTCCCCTCATGACCTGTTATCAAATGAGTTTCACACAAGTCCAATTAAATTAAGAATTAAGATATTTAAAATGACTATCATAAATCTTCAATCTTCTACCTATGTTAAACCAAAGATGCTAGTGCCACAATATGTTCCAATAGCCCATAAAGTTATAAATCTGTTATTGCTTTCTGTAATGTTTTATATGCACTTTGCTTTTAACTGAATCCATTAAAAACAAGGAGCATAACATTGAAGTTCAACAAGGAGCATTACAAGCGCCCATTGTATTTGGTTTTTGGTTTAGAACATTCAATTTATTCATTTCTATATAGGGAGAATATTTTAGAATAAATAGATTTTGTTCTGTCACAAATTCAGAAGAATCAAGGGCAGTTTTGTCATTTCATGATTTAAACCAACAGTTTTAAGATGTTTTTAATGGTAAGGGGCATGGAAGAAGTCAAATTGTATAACCAGGGACATCAATGCAAAATTAGAAAATACAGGGGGAAACCAGTTTTATCAATGTGGTGAATTGATGACTAGTCATTTAGGTACCTCTAGTCAATGCACTGACTACATGACAAAAAAATTAAGAAATGTTCTAAATTTAACTATTTAAGATATTGATGCAATCTCATAAACGAATTAATATAAACTACAATTATGCAAGAAAAGGATGCTTTGAACATTTAATTTGGTCTTGTTTTTCAAACAAAGAAAAAGTCTTAAAAGAAAGAGAGCAACTTAGATTATTTCATGTGCCCTTTGTTTGTGGCAACCCCAGACTAACACACCACTCATTGGAAGAAAGCTTTAAAGAAACTCCTCCACTGCCTTTATTTTATCCCTTTTTCTATATTGTATGCCATCATCTAAAGCAGCAGCATGAATACAACAAAATGTAGACATTTTCAATATTATTTCAAATAATTAGAGGTACAAGCAAATAGATAAGGCTTTAAAATGATTGTGGTTGACTAGGTTGATCAGTCTAATTGACTAGTTGACTTAATTAATGCATATTCGTCTTAGGCAGCTCTATCATTGAGTATCAACTGACTAGTTAGTGATGCAATTGGTGTTGGCCCTCAATTGATTAGTTGGCCAACTAGTCAACCGTCAACGCTTTGATAACACTGGAAACATACAAAATCACCAATACATGGGGGGACAGATCTAAAGGCCCAAAGTTCTATAAAAAATATGCAGTATGGTAAAGAGATCTAAAAATTGAAGATGAATTCATGATGTTTTCTCTTATAAGTATGGAATGAAAATTCTGCTAGGCAAATGCATGTATACTCTATTAACCGTACGCATATGTATATCATTATTTGCAATTGAATGAAGTATTTAAAATAAAACACCATATTTTTTAAAATTTATATTATTCACAAACTGTACATTTTCTATGAATAGCATTTGTTTTTTTTTTCATATTTTTGAGAAGTTATACCTTTCACAAGAGTTTTGCCCAATGATACAGAACTGTGTATGATACACACCAAGATCATGGAAGATAAAGCATCCACATAATAAAATTAGAGTTGGGAAATGACAAGAACTGAACTTTTAGCAACACTACAAGGCTTGAGATTAGGCAGGCTATTAAACTACAACAACTTGAAAGTAGAAGGGGACTCAAAGGTGATAGTGGCATGACTAGATCAAAATTATTAATAGCAATGGCAATACTGACACAGAATGAGGAAGATTAGAGGTTTGCTAAGTGAAGGGGACATCACTTTTTCTTGGGTTCAAATATCAGCAAACAGATTGGATGATTCACTTGCCAAGCAAGGGATGAATAGGGAATGGCAATTTTGAGGTAATTTGAATGTAGAAGGTATGTAAATACCAAGGCTGGGGTTAGGGGAAAGAACCAGCCCAAAACTTGTGAGATGCTTGCCATTTTGTAAATGTTTTTTCTTTTCTTTATTCTTATCTAATAAAGTTTTGATAGTTACCAATCAAAAAGACCCAAAAAAAGAGTTGAGAATTGAGAAACATGCAACACTAACAGAACAAAAGCAGAGAAGCATCTAAAGCCTTCTAGCAAAGGTTTAGTACTTTGTCTATTTTACATATTGTCCAAAAATACCAGATAAGAATTGCATTAGCTTACTAACTAAAAATCTTCAAGGGAAGAACTTGACTATGATACATACAGTAGAGGATACAAAATATGAGCATAGGTCCTAAACTATAATAGAATTACAGAACAGGATTAATTTGATTGATTGCCAACAATTAAAAGATAAGCTTCTGATGGTGATGGTAATAATAAGATGATGGCAAGTCATACATAATGACTGCGATCGTGGACACACTGGTGATTCATAGAGGTAAAGAAACAATAATCAGTAATACCACAACCTTAAAAGAAGGAAAAGCCACTTCCTTGGAGAAAACATGCTTTCATGCAGGTGCAAAATCTGGAAATGTTTTTGATGTGCCTAGTTATGGGTGGTCATTGACTATTTGATTAAGCTGGAGTTTAGGACCCTTGCTGGCCAATCAACCATGTGTTTTATAGTTTTAGTATTTCTATTGATATTAAAGAAGAAAAAATTATTAAAAGAATTACAGTAGATGGTGAGGAAGTTTCACCAACAAAACAGAAATGAAAGACAAAAAAACATGAAACTTGACTAGACCAGCAAGAGATTAACTTTTGGATAATACAAAATCCAGACAACCAAAGATGTGAACAAAGAGATTTTAGAGAAATTTACAGACACAGGATGCACCAAGAACCCCTCACCAGAATATAACAACACTTTAATTTTGACACAAAGAGATTCAGTATTTTGGCCCCCAAAGAGTGCTTTTATTTGTGGATGTACTGCTACATATTTAGGGGCCATTACTTAGTGCAATGGTAAAGTAAAAAGCCTGGGCTGAGAGTGGTCCTTTTACTGTTACATACTTCATATGATGTGCTTTATTGCATATTTTGATATCTTTATTAGCATAGTTGTGACTGCATCTTTGCATTTTAAGGAAGAACTTAAGACAAGGAGTTTGATATGGTATTTGATATCTAGAACATGAAAAGAATATAATCTAAATCAGATCAAGCCAAAATCAAGGTCCAAATTCAAATGAGATAAACAGCATCAGACCTGGATTTGGACCCTAACCAAATGTCTGAAACTCATAAGGTGCATAAATATGCAATCCATTTACATATTTCTATTATGTATTGGAATCTGAAGGAAAATGCATATATGGTAAACTCCATCTTGGTCCTAAACTCCTAATTGTGATCTGATCTATTGTTGTATTTGAAACAGATTCATTTTATAAATGGATCCTCTGTAATGAACCAAGCCCACTAAATATAAGTATTAACGGGGATCTTGGATCTGATTGGCTCATATCATACCCTAACAATGCCAATCGTGTATTTTTCTATACTATTTTTTTTTTGTGATCATTAGTTATTGTCATTTCAGTAAGAATCCTTTTGTCCATAGAATGCATTTGAATTAGGGTGGATTTGGATTTGACAGCAGATTAGAATCTTCAAATCCTGGCATTTGGTTCCACTTTCTGACTCAGAGAATTTGACAGGACCAGGATTTTTAGCCTTTGAATTATGTGCTTTAGTGAATTCAAAATGACACCAGAGGATATCTCCTTCATTTCCATAGAATTGAGGTGCAAATAGATTTCCAATCCATTTCTGCTTCTACAGTCAAATGCACCCTAGTGTCTAATTTGAGTTGGTTTAGGAAATAGAAAAAAAGAATAGTCTTTTATCACAATTCATACATAAAATTGGAAGTTGACAGTTATTCCCCACATATGAAGTGCAAACCTAGTGGAAGGTACATTGTACTTGGCTAAATTGGGTTGTAGGATATACTCATAATTGGAAGGATCAACATATAGGTATTATCGGGAGACCGGATCTGCTCCTCACAGAGAGTGCCTCACATGCACATCCTACCATGCATTGGGAACATCTCCCGTACTTTTAAGTTATTATTCACAGGAGATGTTTCCAATGCACGGTGGATGTGCATGTGAGGCGCCCAAGTGTGAGGAGCAGATCCCGTCTCTATTATCGGATGCTATTTCCCCTTAGGACTATGTACTGACACTAATAAGCATTTAACATTGAGGAAATTAATAGAGAAGCCAATGAAATAACTGATCAACCACTATAGTGAGACCAAATACCAGTGAAGAAATCTTAAGGTAAAACATCACATAGTAACCATTAGATGAAAAATTGGATTGTTTACCAGCTCCAAGAATTGAAGTCCAAGTCTAGCAGCATCTATGTCAGCAGATCTAACCAAGTTTATGAACCCAGGAAGGCATCCCCTACCAACAAGGGAGACCAAGTGCTCCAAAATCACATTTGGTTGTCCAGCACCTTCCATCGGAGCAACACAGAGGTTGCCCAATGCATATGCTGCTTCCTTTCGTATGTCAAATGGTGCAGTTAAAAGAAGACGCAATAGTAAAGGAACTGCTTCACTGGAATGTATCAACTGCTTGTGTGCGAGGGAACCAGCTGCAATATTAGATAAAACCCAAGCTGCCTCCTACATCAAATGAAAAAGTCACAATGTTTTAACAAATAATCATGATTTTCACATATTTATCAAAAAACATGATTTTGGATTCATTATATAAGAATTAATAAATAATGATTAAGCTTACCTTTTTCAAGACCCGGTGTTCACTTTTCAAACATTTTATTAATGCCGAGATGGCATTATCTGCACATTCCATAATCTGTCAGTTTGAATAAAATATGTGAAAGAAATAATGCTTTCAAATTCTTGAAAGTGAAAGAAATGGTTTACAAACCTGTGATATCTTGTCCAGCAATAAGAACAACATGAGTAGTCTGACTATCTCCAGCTACAAGATTACCTAAACTTCGCAGCACCTCCATGAACAGAAAATTGTTTGTCAAAGTGAGAACACGAAATGCTCTGCTCCCCCAATATTTCATACCAAACATCAAAAGTCAATTGAGTTGCATACCTATATGAATGGAAATCCAGAAACAATAGACATTTTAAAGCAAACACCTTTACAATACTTTACCTTCTACAATTGCAATGCAATAGTTTACTTTCTTCAGAAAAGAAAAAACAAATACCTTTACAACTAATAATAACAACATGCTATGTACTTTATTTTGTAAACAGTCTCACTAGTCACTAATGTGACTTACAGTAGGATGCGTTTTGTAGGACTCTTGTATCTTATTTTCCATTTACTATATAATTCATAGGTCCTTATCATGAGATGCAGCCAGAATTATTTGTATTACTCTTCTACTTCAAAGGTGTGCCACCGCTTACAATAAATTCTGTTGACAAGTTACATTTTCTGAATTTATAGGAGTCAAAGTAATGTCTAGAACTGACTTTGATAGGAAACAGGGCAAGGTTAAGACATTAAGAATACAAATTCAACTCAACAGTCTTTTCTCTAACTCTCTAGGGATATATCAATGGTTAAATTGTGAATTCTCAAATTGATTTGCACAACTTCAAGCCATGGACTTTTTTTTAACAACAATTTTCAAATTTATAAATTAAAATAGAACAGAGAGGAGTTCATATATACAATCAGATTCTGAGATAAAATGCCTTATCTCTGCCATCTCTCTTCCTCTCTTCTTTTACAGTCGTGCCCAAAACATTTCATTTCTCCCCACCCATTGCTTTGCTAAAGAATCAGCCATGCTATTGGCTTCCCTGTGCACCCAGAGAAAACTTACTTCCATGTCTCTAGTAAACCACTAAAACTTTTGTATTTCATTCCTGCAAGTCCATATGGCATTCTCCCTCTTTTGCAGCCACTCTATTACTAACTATGAATCACCTTCAATTATCATTTTGTTTACTTTCATGTCTCTTGCTGTTTGCACACTCCTCCTTCAGAACCATTATCTTGGCCCTTAGTGAATCCCCACCAATTGTACCCGAAAATAATGCAGTAATATGGCCTGCTTCATTTCTGAAGATGTCCCCCACTCCTGAAGCCATGGTCCTTTTGCCTTATCCCTAATTCTTTTGGAGCCTTCAATTTGAAGCCAATTGTTTCCTCTATGCACATTGCAAAACCACTGTAATCTACTTTCCCTCATTTTTATCACCCAATCAGTGCTACTCTTAAATTCCCACCAACACACTCACTTCTCATTGTCGTGAGGTGCATTTTATGTGTATTATAAGGTTTAAAGTATCAATACACTCCGACAGTAGCAGAGGGGGCCATGGCCTCCCTATGCCTTGACAATTCCCACAATACCCATTTCAACCTCACTTATATTTTGATCCCCTTATATTTTTTTATACGGTGATTCATCAATACAATACATATGGGCGATACATGATGAAATTTTAAACTTTGGGTGCAAGGGCATTTTTGTCACTTCACTTTATTTTTTTTTTAAGTTCTTAACATAATAGGGTAGTGTGGGTGCTGCCACATACCCAAGACAGATTTCTTTCAGTTCTCTGGCATTCTTTGCTTCTCTTTTCTTCTCCTAGATCTTCTTTGATGGGTTACACTTATCCTATACTTCCTATTTTTCCCATTCGATCATCTTAACATCCACATCTCTGCTACAACTATTTTTTGGATATGCTGCTTCTTGACTACCCAATGTTCTGCTCCATAAAATATTGCTGTTTTTTAATAAATTTTCCCTTTAACCAGATTGGTATTCTCCATCACATGATAAAATGCACTTCTTGATTTCATCCACACCACTCTAATTCTATGAGCTACATCCTCTTCAACCTCTCTTTGTTATGGACAAACTATAGTTGCATTTTTTAAATGAGGCCTAAATAGGACAATCTCTCTCTCTCTCTCTCTTTCCATATCCAGATCACTCTCATTTCTCTAGCTAGCTGTTTATCTTGGTATGTTGACGCTGCCATGTGCACTGAATATCCTTTTTAATCCACCTTACTACAATTTTGGAATCT